AATTGGTTAGGCTACTGCTGAGCATTTGGGTTTGGTTTCCAGCATTAAGATTGTGTGTGTTGATTGCCTTGTTGGAGAGATGAATAGTTCTCTCGTGGTTTATGTATGTCCTGCCCTGTCCTGTGGTCCCAGCTGCCCAAAAACCCTGTTAATCAGAACTACTTGGCAAGTCAACCAATTGGAGGCTCTCATGCTCCTAATTAAGAGGGTCAAGTTAATTTACAGTACATCTGGCCTCCTGCTTTTCTGCGCGGAGGGAAAAAGAGCGGCTTTGTCAGGCGTGACTCCTCAAAGACTGTGCTTTGTTCTGCATGCGGATCCAGAGCATCTACACTGCAGAAAGCTTGCATAAATCCCCCCCCCCCCCAGAGTATTTGTAAAATGAAGGCGGGTGGTGGTACAGCTGAGATGGTGTCATACATCCCAGAAGTCACTCACATTTTGGAGATTTCTGCAATAGTTTTGTAAAAGTCCCTTCTAGAATTACTTCTGTAATGATGAGCCCCCCCCCCCCCACATATATATACTTTGTGCTTTCCTCTTTTTTCTGCATAAATGCTGCACCCCTCCCACATTTCACTACAAGCACTCTTTTGTTTGCTGGTTTTCCCATGACCTTTGACCTCGAGGCCTGCTGTCTGGAGTAGAGAGCGACCGCCTCCTCCCTTCCTTTGCCAGACAATCCACAATCGTACAGTCATCCGCAGATACGTAGCTATGCACACGTTCACGTGCGCACGCCGCATGACATCGGCACTGGACATCTCCACTCGCGTATATAAATGCACGCACCTGACTTGCATTTTCAAAACTGCGCTGATTGCAGAAACACAGTGAAAGGGAGCCACTTTCACTGGCATTTTTAGTTACGTTATCTATCCACTATATTTCTGAAAAGGTTGACTGCACTTCTTAAAAGAAAGGTCTAAATTCAATGAATCATTTATGTGTTTACCAAACATCTTCCTGCAGAGCCGTGGGGTGTGACTCGGGTCTCTGAAGTGTTTTAGATTGTGTTTACAGATTTCGCCCTCTGCCTGGCACAGACTTGACCACAACTGGTCCCTGCTGGCCATCCTTCATTTTCACCATTTTCTTCTCTTGTATTCTCGGCCCATTTGCTTTTTTCCCCCCCCTTTGACATGTTTTTAATTTAAAAGGTGTGTGTGGGGGAGGGGGTTCGAGGAACGAGATGGATCATCCAGCTCCTCTCCCCCTCCCCACCGCTGGAATGCTTTTACTGGTGAGGACCATCCACTAGACTGGTTTTGGTGGATTGCATTTATAACCCTTAAGCTACCTTGCTGGGTCTCACCTCCTCTGTGCTAAGTGGGGATATTGTAGGCTGTGTAAAGCCCACTTTACACACTGATTATAGTGTTAGTACCCAAGCCAGTGTGCTGCAAATATACACAATGAAGTTAGTGATCTGAAGGAATTTAATTAATGGCTTCTTAACGGTTTTAAAAAGTCAATGATTCTTATGGGAGGAAGTGTGTCAAAAATGTTTATATTAGTCTAATCAGTATGAGCTAGGTAGCGTTTAATGTGTTAGTGTTTTATGTGAAGCAGTGGTGTTAGGTGATGGGACTGATCAATTCAAATATGTGAGCGTGATGACTGCAGAGGCTAACTGTCGTCTTATTCGGCTGTATTCTGCTACAGGCTCTCATTGGTTAGATCACTAGCTCTGCATCTTGATGTGACTTTTTCCTAGTTTGCCTCGTTACCAATTTCAAAGGTATCTGACTCCTTGCGTACTTTGAGTTTTTTTCCCGTGCTGCGATTTCTGCGTGCCTGCGCCTTCCTGACCTTTAGAACACGCAGGAGAAGAAAAAACGTCGGTGTGCCTGAATAGTTGCCACCAGGAAAATACAACATACCAGTGCAGAGCAGAGAAATGCAAGTGTTGGACACATCTGTTTTTCTTAGGTTGTAAATTCTTCTTAGCGTATTATAAATATTACTTAATATATTAGGAAATAGCCTTCATTTATTACTTTTTAATCAGTATCCCTAAAGCGCATTATAGAAATTTGCAAATATCAAGGACTGTTTACTTCTGGCCAGAATTGTTTGTTTTATTTACTCAGCTGAAAAATGAAAAACCACTGCGACGTGAATAAGAAGCCTTGCCGTGAAGTGCTCTGTTGTGTTTTCCTTTGAAATGCAAAAGGTGTTTTTGTATAAAGCCAATGTTTATGGTGATAATTTTGCAACACACGCACAAATTATGCCTTTTACCCAAGCACTTGTTTACCAAACACATACCATACGTTGCAAATGTATAAAACGGGGCGCAGAGTGGTAACAGGTAACAGGTTTAGGGTTATCACAGGGAAATGCGAGGAACAAAGGATCGCGTGCAGTGGAGTTTGATGTGAGAGGAGAGCACTGGCGTGTGGGCAGTGAAGGGGGCATGGGATTGCGATGGGGAGGGGTGTCTGTTTAGTTAGTCCCTTGAACTGCATACCCGTCAGCCTCCTGGCCAATCAGCTCAGCCTTAATTAAAAGATTTCCCTCCATTTATTGTGTCGCCTCATCTCTCCTGGCTTAATTCCGGAGTTCAGGTGCTCGCTCTCTCTCTCTGTCTCTCTCTCTCTCTGTCTCT